ATTGCTCTGTTTGTGCCGGGGCACCGGATCTTTGGGGTGAACCAGCCTTTGCCGTAATGTGTTTTGGGATTTGAAAGCCACTGGGACATCATGTTTAGAAAATAAACGTCTCAGTTTCTCCGAAACACCCGCATCTTCTGTCATAGGGTTTAATCCCAGCTCTGTTAAGAACTCTTCTCTCTTCTGTTTTTGCAGATCGCTGTGCTGCGAGGAGAAAATGCGATGGCCAAGACCCTGCAGTCAGCTGTTGAGACATTAAAAAAGGACAAAGCTCAGCTGCAGAGTCGAGTTCATAGTCTGGAGCAAAGGCTGCTGGGAGGTCAGGCCTCAGAGGGAGATGACAGTGAGACTGTCTTCTCAGGTGAGAAGAAATGCATTATTGATGCTGTGTCACAGTGAAATACGAGAGGAAATACAGTACATGTCATTTTATGTTGTCTGATTTATCCCATGCAGGTGATGCAGCTCTGCAGCAGCTGAGGGAAGAGAAAGAGTTTGCTGAAGGACAGGTGAGGCTTGTTTGATTATGCAAAAGTCACGTTTTTAAGGGTTTTTTTTTTTACTCAACTTTGGGTATGTACTTCTTAAAAAAACAGTCCTAGGACCAAAAAATGCACCCAGGGGTATATTTACTCTAAGTAAATGTATTTTTCATGTATGTTAATGTCAAGTTTTCAAATCCCGCACTCCAGCCCACCCCAACCTGAGCCCAGCTCGTTTCCTCGTAACCCAAGCAGAGACTCCGCCCACTTCTTCACAGGACGGCTCTGCTGCTTCACAGTCATGGAGGACAGAGATGTGTGGATTAATTTAATTTTATTTAATTTTGTTTTTATTTTTGATGGCAATGTTCTAGCGATATTAAAGCATACATTAAACATTTACGGATTTTTGAGGCTTTTTATACAGGTACACGTCCGAAGAGGTTGACATGTATGTTAAAGAAAGTTTGTGTAAATAATTTCACCATGAACTACTTTGGAAAAATCTACTTTCAACTGAAAAGAAACTGAAAGTAAACTTCTGACGGGGTGCAGAGCTAATGTAAACAAAAGGTTGGGAGGGGGTTTCCATAGCAACTTATGCAAAGCATCAGGTTCTGAATAGAGCTGAAGAACTGAAGATCTGACATGGTGAAATTTCATTATCTGAGATTAATTTTGTGAGTTAAATCAAATGAACATGTTTTGTATAGCCCACAGATGGACCCTAACTTGTTCTAGGACCCCCATAATAGGTCTCCTTTAATGATGATGAAGAGACTAATCTCATCTTGTTTCCTGTTTTCTTTGTCTACATTAATCCATAATGTGTGTCTTTAACTCCATCAGATAAACTTCCTGAACAGTGTGATTGTCGACCTGCAGCGGAAAAATGAGGAGCTCAAGATTAAGTTGAAGAAGCTCGCTCTGGCTGAGTTCAATGGAAACGATGGGTCAGACAGGTAAAACTCCATACAGAAAACTTTAATAGATTGCTTCACAACAAGAGCTCAGACACTCACCWGCACTTTCTCCAATCATTAAATATTGTTAAAATATTAGTGGCTAAAGTATGGAGTTAAATTTGTGTTTTTATTATTCAATCAAACAAAAAGCATCTTCAATCAAAAAAAA